GCAACGCTACCTTGGGCTGCAGATCACCAGGGACAGGGCGGCTCGCACCATTACGCTGCCACAGTCGCAATAGGTCGAGCAGATCCTCACGCGGTTTCGTTTCTTGTTCTCCAAGGTACGGCTCACCCCTCTTGCTGAGGATCATGGGCTCATGGCTCCACCTCCGGACGAGTCATCTGAATCGAGTGGTCCATATCCTGAGTTGGTGGGTTGTTTAGTGTACGTGATGACCTGTACTTGCCCAGACTTAGCTTTCCCTCTCAGCATCCTGGCGCGCTTTGTTGCGAATGGGAGACACCGACCTTCTCACTGGTTGGCTGCTAAGCGGGTGCTGAAGTATGTTGCAACCACACCAGGCATGGGACTTGTCCTTGGAGGGAAGCAGCCAGTTACACTCACAGGTTACTCGGACTCGTCGTACGCGGACTGCGCCCAGACGTACAGGTCTACATAGGGTTAGTGCTTCAGCCTTGGGACCGGAGCTGTTTCGTGGAGGTCGACTTGGGCGTCGTCCGTCGCTAGCTCCAGCTGTGAGGCAGAGGTGTACGCTGCAGCCATGGCCACCCAGGAGCTTTGTTGGCTGTCTTTCCTCCTCACCGACCTTGGTGAGCGGCCTCGCTCTCCGCCAGTCTTGCTCGCTGACAACAGGTCTGCTGTCCTGTTGTGCGAGGAGCCTCAACTGGTTGGGAAGGCGAGCCACATCCAGCTTCGTTACTTCCTTTTGCGTGAATTGCACCAGCATGGCCAGACCCGCGTGGTACGTGTGGTCTCTGAGGCCAACACTGCATATATCTTCACCAAGGCGTTGCCGTCTGCACCCAGCTGGGCCTTGTGTCTACAGGCCTTCACTTGTTTGCGTAGAGATGCTTTGTCTTGTACTCTTGCATCTCCCTCTACATATATCTGTTTGTGGGTTGGCCATGTGGCCTCTTGCTTACTCTCAGACTGTGTGGTGACTTGAGGTCCACACTGAGATTTGTCATGTTATTGTGGACTGATCTTGTGACCATTGCTTGTTCTTGCGGACTGGTCCTGTGACCCTTGCTCTCAGACTGTGTGGTGACTTCGCGATCCACCCTGAGATCTGTGTTGCCTTCCACAGGACTACCGTCACCTTTACTATGGGGGTGTGTTAAACTATATTTTATATAGTTTATTTTGTTGTAGTCTAGGTGTTCCTGTTTTGCCCTAGGTTATGGTTATATTCCCTTGTACTTTCACATTCTAGTCAATTCTTACTTTCCAACACCACCAGGCGCCCACTACTGCCGAGGATGCCACTGTCGCTGAGGTCCCCACTGCTGGGACTACTGCTGCTGCTGCTGCTGGTGTGACTGCCTCGGCTGCCACAGAACTCTAGCGGCCGCCATGGCGAGAGGGAGCTGAGAGTAGGAGTGGCTGGCAAAGAACTGTTGGGAACTGCGAAGAGCAGTTAGGAACAGGTAGGAACGGCAGGGCAAGACTGACCAAGAATACCAGGCTAGGAACGGCAGGCTGAGAGTGTCAGGCAAGGAAACGGCTGGCTGGAGGCTAACCCAAAACCCTAAACAGCACCAGGAAGTGTCAGAATCCCAGCCACTAATCACTGGGATAAAAGGGCTTGTTTGTGTAGCGGGTGAGTGCGCCCATAACCCCCCAGGCCAACGTGCCTGTAACCCTTCCCTAGGATCAATCAGGGATCTCCAGTGGACCTCTGACACCCCCCCGCACTGGAATGCCCGAGGTGCACACACTGGGATTCGAACCCGAGACCTTCGCTCTGATACCATGTCAGAATAGTAGATTAAGCTTAGGCGCCATGGCTAGGTTTTCAGCAAGACGAGAGGAGTGAGAGGGAAGTTTCACCAACAAAAGAGGATGTTCACTATAGGGTGAGCAGTACAAATAAGCAAGAAGAAACAACAAAGGTGCACCACCAAACAGGAAAATGCTATAACTACAGTAACCAATCCTACAGGCTGTTACATATAGAAAATATAAACTTATATTTTCCGACACGCCCCCATAACTGCCTGTAGGAGAGGAATATGCAGTTAGCGCCCCCTGAAGGGGTACACCACGAGTGCGCAGCGGAAATCGCAGCAACAAGCAAGTGCAGTGGCAACCGGTGCAGTGGTGGCAGATTCAGCTGTGGCAAACCTTCAGCCAAGGCAGAAGCAGGAGCAGGTGCAGGGGGGCAGGCAGGTCGCCTGAGGAGCAGGCTCTGTGGCTGCAACGAGCAGCAGGACAGTAGCGGCTCGACGGCAGCACCTGCAGGCCCCAGCAGCAGGCAGAAGAAGCAAGGGCAGGTGGCGGCAGGGGCTGCAGCTGGAGGTGCCACGGTAGCAGCGGGCGGCAGCAGCAGATGCCCAGCTGACTTCCGCCACCCTCTCTCACCCTCCCCCCCACAGCTGCACGCGCGGCAGTGAGAGAGAGAGGAGGGGGGACGGCTGTTGGTGCGGCAAAATCTCTCTCGCCACCCCCTCACACTCCCCCCCTTCCCCCACAGCGACCGGCGCTGCAGGGAGAGAGAGGAGAGAGGAGGGCGTCGGCTGGTTCCTGCGGGTACACTCCCGCCACTCCCTCACCCTCCCCCCCACAGCGACAGTCGCGTATGGGTCGGTAAGGGGCGACGGCAGGTGCTGCTGGCGGCTCACAGCGGCCACCCCGTCACACCACCTCCCCCACTGTCCGCCACGCCCACGACCTCCCCCCACAGCACGAGCGCGCACGGCAGCAGCAAGTGCGACAGCTGCAGCGGGACCGGCGGGAGGGTGGGCGGGGACAGTTGCTCGGGCGCGACGAGCGGGACAGAGGGCCGTAACGGAGGCGCGACGAAGCGGCGACGGGGCAGCGTGGCCGCGAACGACGGGGCGACGAGGCAGCGCGACGAGCAGAGCGCCGCCTTCGCCCCGTCGATCGCGCTGACGGTCAAAACCGTCGCGGATTTCAACGAGACGGTCGCACTGACGGCACGATCGCAGCAGGAAGTCGTTGGGAGGGAGGGCCACCATGACAGGGTCGAAAATCGGTGGGCCCATTGATCGAAAACTAGCTCGATAAAAGGGCTTGTTTGTGTAGCGGGTGAGTACGCCCATAACCCCCCAGGCCAACGTGCCTGTAACCCTTCCCTAGGATCAATCGGGGATCTCAAGTGGACCTTTGACAGGAAGTGGTAGCTAGAATCGTCACGCTAGGAGGTAATGGGAAACCCTAAAACGACGCTAAGAAGGGGAAGAGCAGCTTCCAGCCGCTGTGAGGAGAGACTCTAGCAGGAGTGATGGCTTGGGAGGACAAGAAGAAGCTGGGTGGTCGGTATGCGTTGGCCGTGCATGTTACTGGCGGCTAGCGCTGGTGTACAAGCGGCGTATGCCGTCGCTGACGCGCTGGAGGCGGCCTAAGTTGTGGCTGGCGCTGCTGGCGGCGACCTAAGCTGCTGCTAGCGCGTTGGCGGCGGCCTAGGCGCTGCTGGTGTTAGCGGGTGGTGGGGCAGAGAAGCGCGTTCGTGCGCTGGCCAGCGTAGGCGCTCGCTCTGGCGCTGCGCGCTGGCGTGCATATTCGCGTGCGCTGGCGTGCGTAGGCGCGCACACTGACGCCGTGCACTGGCGTGCGTAGGCGAGCGCACTGGTGCTGCGCGCTGGCGTGCGTAGGCGCGCGCACTGGTGCTGCGCTGGCGTGCGTAGGAACGCGCGCTGGCGTGCATAGGCATGCGCGGGCTAGTGCCCGTTGGCTGGCCGGGCGCTCCTTCTTTGCCCTGCTGCATGCGCGCGAGCTGCTCGCGCTGCTGCTGGTGGCGAGCACGCTTGCGTGGCGCACTGCTAGCGGGCTGGCTGGCTGGCTAAACGGACGATTGGCTGGTTGGCTGAACGAATGGTTGGCTGGCCGAACGGCTGGATCAGGGCTAATTTTATCAGGGTAAATCACCCTGATACCCTGATAATCAGGGTGGTTTTTGGCTGTCACACTGATGCCTTAGGGTAATTTTCTCAGGAGCTTGTATTTTCCTGATAGGCCAGGGTTTACGTTTAAGGTACACTGACGGCCCAGGGTTACCGATCTTCATAACGAGTTTTACCCTGAATCGAGTACATAGCCCCCCCCAAGCGCCCCCCCCCCCCACCCCACCCCCCCTTTCCCGTAACCCGAAGTTCTCGCGTGCCAACTGTCGAAACTGAAATTTGGCAAAGGCAATATCTGAGCTGGCACGAGGGGGGCCTCCATTTTCCAGAAATACAGTTTCGTTATTGCCTGCCAACGAAATACACCAGGGTTTGCAAAACTGGTACACTGATCCTACAGGGTATAATTTTCAAAAACTAGGAAAACCCTGATGGATCAGGGTTTGAACAAGGTGTCACACTGATAATCAGGTTTTTGGACTTGTGCAACACTGATCACAAGGGTTGCTGAAAACCAAAAATTAGCCCTGGGCTGGATTGCTGGCTGGACGGATGGCTGGCTGGCTGAATGGCTGGCCGACTGGCCGGCTAGGGAGAGGTAGGAGGGCTAGGATCCTAGGAACGTCCTACGATACCATGTCAGAATAGCATAGCGGAATCATGTGTGACTAGTAGGAGATGGGTACATATGGCAAACCCTAGAAAGTGTTGTACCTTATACAACGCACCTCCCTGTAGCCTAACAAACCTAACACAAATATGAATATATTTTGACGCAGGCGAACCAAATGGTCATTGTGTTCGAAATGTATGGCGGGGTTAGCTTGAACGTTACAGCCCTTCGCATTCGCCAGATTCGGCCATTTGGTCGGCTTTTAGGGCGGATTGGTACAATGTTACACGCCCTTGTAAATTTTGCATCTGGTTCCGCTATATAAGCAGACAACCCTTCAGACACCACACCAAAAAATCCCTCTTGCCTGCTTCTCTTGCACTGACACTGCTTACGGTATTTTGAATTGTGTTCCTCCCCGAATCGGATCTGCGTCGCCGCCTGACGAGCAATCGAGGAACTGCGACTAGGGATTTCGTCGCTCAGCGCACCTAGCTCCCATCGCCAAGATGAGCGGTCCGGATGCGCTATTCTCTCTGCGGAACAACTTTCAGCTGGGCGCGTACCAGGCGGCGATCAACGAGAGCGGCGTGGGAGGGCTGTCGGAGGCGGAGAGCATCGAGCGCGACACCATCGTTTACCGCTCCTACATCGCGCTCGGCAGCTACCAGGTGCGCCGCCCGCCCTCATCGTTACACTCGTTTCCGGCATTCCTCGCTGTCCGTGCTCTGACTAGCGTGCCTCCCCTCCCCCGTGGCGTGCGGCAGCTGGTGATCGACGAGATCACGGAGTCGTCCGCCACGGCGCTGCAGGCCGTCAAGCTGCTCGCAACCTACCTCGCCGATAACACCAACAAGGTGCGCCGCCCACCCTGCGCGCTTCGCATTCGTCGCTCGTTTCGCATTCGTCGCATGAGCTGGTTCGTTGGCTTGGAGTGAAATTTGTTTTCTGACGCGAGAGGGCGGGGCGGCAGGACGCGGTGCTGTCGGGGCTGGAGGGGTATCTGTCGGAGTCCGTGATCGGCAAGAACGCGACGCTGCTGCTGGTGGCGGGCACCGTGTACGCGCGCGAGCAGAACTTCGTCGACGCGCTCAAGGTCGCGCACGCCCTTCCCGGCAACCTCGAGCTGTACGTGCGGGCCGTGGGAGGCGGGGTGATGGGATGGGGCGAGGTGGTGGGATGGGGGGGGGCAGTGCTGCTCGGATGGGGTGGGATGGTTGTGCTACCGCTGCTAGTGCTGGTGCCGTGTGCGCGGGCGGAAGGTCAAATGAGCAGTGGGCTGTGCTGTGCTGTGCTGTGCTGTGCCATTGCTGTGGTGCTGCTGTCTCCCCCCCCAGCATGGCGTTGAGTGTGCAGGTGTTTCTACTGATGGATCGCGCGGACCTAGCGGAGAAGCAGGTGAAGGCGATGCAGCAGGTGGACGAGGACGCCACCCTCACGCAGCTCGCCCTCGGCTGGGTCAGCCTCGCCATGGTCCGTCCACTGCCCTGCCCTGCCCAGCCCACCCGCCCACCGCTGCTCTTTCTGTCACCCTGCTGCGCGCTCTGCGCTTCTGCCATGATGCCCGTTGACATGGGCCATGCGTCATGTGTGCGTGTGTGTGTCACAGGGCGGGTCGAAGGTGCAGGAGGCGACGTACGTGTTTCAGGAGCTGGCGGACAAGTTCAGCCCGACGGTGGCGCTGCTCAACGGCAGCGCGCTCGCCCAGATGCACTCCGGCAACTTCGAGGACGCCGAGGCACTGCTGCTGGACGCCCTCAACAAGGTGAGCTGCTGCTGGACGCCCTCAACAAGGTGAGCTGCTGCTGGACGCCCTCAACAAGGTGAGCTGCTGCTGGACGCCCTCAACAAGGTGAGCTGCTGCTGGACGCCCTCAACAAGGTGAGCTGCTGCTGGACGCCCTCAACAAGGTGAGCTGCTAGGTTCTTCTCTGCGGCCACTGGTTGCTGACACTCCCATGTCTTCTCTTGCTCATGCTGCCCTCTCCTGCCTTCCTGGCGCTGCCCTGCCCTCTCTCCTTATGCTGCTGCCAGGACGCCAAGGACGCCAACACGCTGGCCAACCTCGTTGTCTGCTCGCTGCACCGAGGAAAGCCCGCCACGCGCTACCTCAAGTGAGTGCTCACCGCCTGCTGCTGCGAGCGTCTGATCCCATAATCTTAAGTGCCTCTTAGGTTCTAACTTGGAGTGTTGTTGCTGTGTGCAGCCAACTGAGGACGGTGGCACCGGATCACATTCTTGTACAGCGCCAAATAGCATCTGAAGCTGCCTTTGACCAAGCAGTTGCAGCGTATGCTTGAACAAAGATTCTCCACTATACTGTATATCACACATATTAAGGCGGCAGTGAGCATGGTAGGATTATGTGAGTTACCAAGGAGGAGGAAATGAGCGAAGAACAAACATATCCCACATCATCATCCCCTGAAGAATATTGATCTCCACCACATCCGGCCGGCATACTGTATGAAAGGGACTTCGAGTCTTCGATTCTTCATGGTACCATTGTTGGAGTAAGTAATCAAGCATTGGGAATTTGGTACCTTAGTTGTCCCGTTTGTCATGTTTAGGGGTGACTCGACAAGGTGGGACATTGCCTTCTATCGAATATGCACAATACAGACGCTAGAAGGCATGTTATTATTATCATTTTCGCTTGTGTTACACCAGTAAAAATTGCCTGCTGTTTTTTCCATCACATAGAAAACGGTTAGTTCCAATATATAGAATGCGTTCTAAACGTGGGCCGCCTCTGCGATTTCTACCGCTTTTATGATTGGGCACCCTAAACCATGCTTAATTCACGACCAAATAAGATTTTGTTTATAAGGCTTGTAGACTATTTAGAACTACCCATGGTAAGCTGCACTTGAAAGGCGTATGCCTTGTTTCGCGCCATATCTCGCCAACAGCCCGTGTAGCTGGCGTATGGCGGCCACAGGGCTCTCTCCTTTTCCCTGCCACCGCGTCCATCATCTGCTTATTGGCCTTGTCGCCACCTTTGAAGCTGCACGTTGCAACTACCTTCCTACTCGCTCGCTACCCTATCCCCGCAACTCCGAATGATGCGGCATCAACTATCGCCTCCGTATCACCTGTGCACCCACATTACCGCCACCTGCTCGTAGCGCCCCACACGTTGCTCGCTGTCGTCGTCGTCGTCGTCGTGTGCGCAGCACCGCGCGGGACGACCATCGCTAGCGGAGCACGCGGGTGCGGCCAGCCCGCTCCGTGAAGCGACGCCCGTCCGCCGCGCATCAACGGCGCGCGCCATGCTGGCGCGTGTGCCCATGACCAGTGCAATGACGATCAAGCCTGTGGCCTCTCATTCCTCCCCATGCCTCGCCGCATCCCAATCGCGCACACCGCCGACGGGCCCCGTTGGGCCGCTGAGCCTCCTCTTCGCCGCGCCCTCCTCACGTTTTGCCTGAGCTGCCAGCGGACCGGCTGCTGAGCCGTTTGTGTGACGGCCTGCCGCAAAGATGGCGACGGCTGGCAGGCAGACGCTGACGTCATCGGGATCGGGCAAGATTGAGCAGGCGAATCTGGTGGCGGTTCGATTCGAATTCGAAATTCACCTCGTCGAGGTCAGCTCCGCCCCCCGTCTGCCTCCGCCGGTCCCACTTCCCCGCCCGCCCCACGTCCCCCTTCCCCCTTCCCGCTTCCCGCTTCCCGCTTCCCCTTCCTCACTTCCCACGTCCCGCTTCCCCCATCCGAAGCCCCCCGTTCCTCTTCCTTCGTCGTTCCATGCGTCTTCCGCTCCCCACCACATCTGCGTGTCTCCCCTCGTCCCCGCAGGCCGCGCCTCTGAACGATCTCCAGCCCCTCTCTCTCCCTCTTCGCCCCCTCTCTCTCCCTCTTCCCCTCATCCCCTCGTGCCCCCTACCCCGCCAACCGCCCGCCATGGCGGCAGCTGCGCGGGTGGCTGCGCGCCTCCCCGCCGCTCATCGTCCGCTGGCAGCGCGGGGACAGCCGCGCGGGCCTCTCCGCGCCTGTGTGGCCCACCGACGGCCCCCATGTGCCGCTCAGCCACACCTTCCGGGTACGCTGTGAGTGCACCCGCCCGTGGGGGGAGGGGGGAGGGGGGAGGGGGGAGGGGGGGACGGAGTGGGGGTGGGGGGATCTGGGTTCCTGGGGTGGTGCTGTGCAGTGGTGGGATGGCGGGGCGTGGTTGAGGCGGTGGGAGGGACAATGGGGGCCGCGGGGCTCGTGTGAGGGCGAGTGGCACCCGGCAGTCACACCTGCGTCCCCCGCTCAGCAACAAACCCCTCTCCACCCCTCGCCCACGCTGCATGCACCTCCCATCTCCCCCACCTCCCACCAACTTCTCCTTGCATTCGCATCCTCTCCTTCTCCCTCCCCCACTCCCCTCCCCTTTTCCCAACGTCTTCCCCTCCTCCCTAACACCCCCCTCTTCCCATCCTTCTTCCCCGCCCTCTCAACCACCCCCCACCCCCCTCATTTCCCCCCATTCTTCCCGTTCCCCACTCTTTCCCCCCTTTTGCCCCTCTTTCCCTGCTTTTCCCTCTTTCCTCCCCTTTCCCCTTTCCCCCCCACTTTCCCCTCCTTTTTCCCCCTTTTTCCCTCCCGTTCCCCCTTTTTTTCCCCCTTTCCCCCCCTTTGCCTCCCTTTCCCCCCCTTTCCCCCCCTTTTCCCCCCCTTTTCCCGCCCGCCCTTTCCCCCTCGCCTGCGAGCAGATCCCAGTGACGCTGTACAGGGAGAGGGGAGCCCCCACGGCGCCCTACCTGCGCAAGGCCGCCACCTTCACGCTCCACCACGCGCTGCTCGCCGCCGCCGCCGCTCACCCAAGCCACCCATTCGATGCACCATCCGAGCCTGCCTTCCAGGCTCGGCCCGAGCCTCTGGGTCGGGCGCAGCTGGACCTGGCTGAGCTGGCGGACTGCGATGGGGCGGTGGAGCGCCGCCTCAAGGTGGCGCCCGGGCCCGCCATGCTGGCTGACGTGGCGGCTGAGGATAGGCCGGCGGGGGCGGTGCTGGTGGTGAGCGTGGAGTGCGTTGGGAAGAAGCTCAGCCGCGAGGCCGCCGCTGAGGAGGCCCACATGTACGCCTCGGGGGGGGGGGGGGGGGGGCGCAGGGCATGGGCGCAGGGCATGGGGGCAGGGCATGGGGGCAGGGCATGGGGGCATGGGCTCATAGCAAGAGGAGGAAGTGGTTTAATTAGGGTGATGGGTGTTGAAGCGAGAGGGTGGGCGTGGGATGGCGGGTGGATGATAGCATTGGAGAAGCAGTTGGGTTGGGTGAGGGGGAGTGGATGCGATGGGTGGAGGGATGGGAGAATATAGAGTGGTGAGGTGAGGGAAGAGGAGGGCAGGGGTGAGAGCGGGGGCGAGGCAGTGTTGGTGAGGTGAGGGGAGAGGGGTGAGTGCAGAGTGCGGGGAGGCAGAGAGTGTGCGCACGGCAGGTGTGGCTCGTGTGCTGCCAGAGCTGCAGTTTGGTGCAGCATGCGTTGTGAGTCAGCGCCATGCATGGGGTGAGAGGCATGCATGGGGTGAGAGGCATGCATGGGGTGAGAGGCATGCATGGGGTGAGAGGCATGCATGGGGTGAGAGGCATGCATGGGGTGAGAGGCATGCATGGGGTGAGAGGCATGCATGGGGTGAGAGGCATGCATGGGGTGAGAGGCATGCATGGGGTGAGAGGCATGCATGGGGTGAGAGGCATGTGTGGGGTGAGAGGCATGCATGGGGTGAGAGGCATGCATGGGGTGAGAGGCATGCATGGGGTGAGAGGCATGCATGGGGTGAGAGGCATGCATGGGGTGAGAGGCATGTGTGGGGTGAGAGGCATGTGTGGGTCAGCCTTGGGTGAAAAGGCTGCCAGCATGGGCAAGCCACCATCCGTGCCTCTCCGCCCCATGGCCCCCGTCCACCTGCCACTCACGCCCCACCCCCCTCCCCCTCTTCCCCCCGCAGCCTGGCGGCCCCCAGGGGGCATCGCCGCAACGCCTCCTCACCTCTGCTGCCCTCCACCGCGCTGCACCGCCCCCCCACCCCCTCGCATCTCGCCTCCTCCCCTCCGGCGTCGGGGTGCGCCTCGCCCGCCGTGGCAGCAGCAGGCAGCGCGGGGTCGTCGCTGGGCGACCGTGACTTCCCTGCCCTGCCCGCTCTGCCCCCCCTGGTAGGGGGCGCGCACGCACAGGGCCACACGCATGGCCCTCCCCACGGGCCGTGGCAGCACGAGCCGGCTGTAGCAGAAAGAGATGCGGGTGGGGGGAATGTGGGGAGGGTAGAGGCAGTAGCAGATGAGGGAGAAGGTGTGCAGAGCGGTGGTGAGGTGGGCAAGCGCAAGCAGCAGAGGAAGAGCCGCAGAGGAGGCAGAGCAGGCTCATGCGATGGGGTGAGGGGCGTGAGAGAGAAGGGGGGAGACGTGGGTGAGGAGGAGCTAATAAGAGACGCTGGAGAGAGTGACGTGGCAGTGGGCGATTCTGGACCTCTCTCTGCCACGTCAACCCCCCCTGCAACGTTAGCAGTGCCTGCCAAGTCAGCATCGTCCTCATCCACCTCATCACGACCTCCCTCCCATCCTCCATCAGCCTCTGCTTCCCCTGTGCCCTCGCGCTCCTCTTCTATCTCGTCAGCGGCCTCTGCATCCACGTCAGCTTCGGCATCCACGTCAGCATCTGCCTCGTCAGCATCCACATCAGCATGCATGACGTCATCATCGTCACATTCGCCGCTGGAGTCACCAGCAGCGTCCGCGGCCCCCCCCTCCTCCTCCTCCTCCTCCTCCTCCTCCTCCTCCTCCTCCTCCTCCTCCTCCTCCTCCTCCTCCTCCTCCTCCTCCTCCTCCTCCTCCTCCTCCTCCACCTCCTCCTCCTCCATGTCTGCCACACGCGCCTTCCGCCTGGCTGCTGCAACCCATGCCCCCTCCCCTCAGCCTCAGGTACTGCCCTCCCCTCGGCGTCACACTCCATATCTTCCCCTCCCCTCGGTACACCCCTCACTGCTTCCCCTCCCTTCCTCCCCCCTCCACTTCCTCTACCCTCCTCGTCATCTCTGCTCTGTGTGCCCCTCCTTCCTGCCCTGGACACGCCCACACTATCATCTCCTCTCTGCTCCTCCACTCTCCCCCCTCCCCGCATTCTCTCCTCTCCTCTCCTCTCGTCTCCCCCCTCGTGCACCCCTCCAGCCAGCCGCGGGGGCCAAGCAGGGCAGGAAGGCGTCTCGCCGCGCGCAGTCATATGGCGGCGCTGAGCTCGCCGCCTTCCATGCTGCCCCCACTGCCCCGCCACCACCACCACACGCTGCAGCAGCAGCGGCACAAACATCAGCAGCTGCCCGGAAAGATCCCGCTGATGCTGCCGCTGCTCCCGCCGACACCACTGACGCCACTGATGCAGTGAGCGTAGAATCAGCCGAGGCCGGCAACACCCAGCGTGCCTCATCGGTGGCAGCTCTGGTCAGTGGCCATCGCACTTGCACTCTTCACTCCCTCCTTCATCTCCCGGCTATGCTACTAACTCGCCATGTCCCCATTCCTTGCCCACCTTCCCTTGTGCCCCCCCCCTCTTCCCATCTAATGTTTTTACTATCTCTTCGCCTCTGCAATCTCTTCGCCTCTGCAATCTCTTCGCCTCTGCAATCTCTTCGCCTCTGCAATCTCTTCGCCTCTGCAATCTCTTCGCCTCTGCAATCTCTTCGCCTCTGCAATCTCTTCGCCTCTGCAATCTCTTCGCCTCGCAATCTCTTCGCCTCTGCAATCTCTTCGCCTCTGCAATCTCTTCGCCTCTGCAATCTCTTCGCCTCTGCAATCTCTTCGCCTCTGCAATCTCTTCGCCTCTGCAATCTCTTCGCCTCTGCAATCTCTTCGCCTCTGCAATCTCTTCGCCTCTGCAATCTCTTCGCCTCTGCAATCTCTTCGCCTCTGCAATCTCTTCGCCTCTGCAATCTCTTCGCCTCTGCAATCTCTTCGCCTCTGCAATCTCTTCGCCTCTGCAATCTCTTCGCCTCTGCAATCTCTTCGCCTCTGCAATCTCTTCGCCTCTGCAATCTCTTCGCCTCTGCAATCTCTTCGCCTCTGCAATCTCTTCGCCTCTGCAATCTCTTCGCCTCTGCAATCTCTTCGCCTCTGCAATCTCTTCGCCTCTGCAATCTCTTCGCCTCTGCAATCTCTTCGCCTCTGCAATCTCTTCGCCTCTGCAATCTCTTCGCCTCTGCAATCTCTTCGCCTCTGCAATCTCTTCGCCTCTGCAATCTCTTCGCCTCTGCAATCTCTTCGCCTCTGCAATCTCTTCGCCTCTGCAATCTCTTCGCCTCTGCAATCTCTTCGCCTCTGCAATCTCTTCGCCTCTGCAATCTCTTCGCCTCTGCAATCTCTTCGCCTCTGCAATCTCTTCGCCTCTGCAATCTCTTCGCCTCTGCAATCTCTTCGCCTCTGCAATCTCTTCGCCTCTGCAATCTCTTCGCCTCTGCAATCTCTTCGCCTCTGCAATCTCTTCGCCTCTGCAATCTCTTCGCCTCTGCAATCTCTTCGCCTCTGCAATCTCTTCGCCTCTGCAATCTCTTCGCCTCTGCAATCTCTTCGCCTCTGCAATCTCTTCGCCTCTGCAATCTCTTCGCCTCTGCAATCTCTTCGCCTCTGCAATCTCTTCGCCTCTGCAATCTCTTCGCCTCTGCAATCTCTTCGCTTCTGCAATCTCTTCGCCTCTGCAATCTCTTCGCCTCTGCAATCTCTTCGCCTCTGCAATCTCTTCGCCTCTGCAATCTCTTCGCCTCTGCAATCTCTTCGCCTCTGCAATCTCTTCGCCTCTGCAATCTCTTCGCCTCTGCAATCCTGCTTGCTTTTCCGTTTGCACTCTCTTCTCCCGTTTCACCCTTCTCTCTTGTACACCATCCTCTCCCATCCACCTCTTCTTCCTTTCAACCCCTCTCTTCCCTTCAGAGGGCACAGCGCAAGGCAGCGGGCAGGCGGCACTCGTACGGCGGCCAGGAGCTCACCGCCATGCACACCGCACTCACACACCCGCTCGCCACCCTCGATGCCACTGACGCTGGCAGCACCAGTGACAGCAGCACTGCGGGCAGCGGCAGGGGCAGCAGGGGCAGCAAGACGAGCAGGCGGCGGGGGGGGGCGGGCAGCATCAGCATGGACGTGCCTGGCCGCCCCGCCACGCCGCTCACCCGCTTCAGCCGCCATGCCAAACCCCCCCTCGCCACGCCCCCCTCCTCCCTCCCCCCCACTGCCGCTGCCACTACCCTTGCCACCACCCCCCTTACCTCACCGTCCGCCACCACCAGTGCGCCCTCTGCCCTCACGCCTCCACCTAGCCTCCCTGTTCAGGCTGAAGCGCCATCATCCCACGCCACCCCTGCTGCTGCCGCTGTCGCTGTTGCTGCTGCTGCCGTGGGGGTGGGTGCTGGTGAGCTTGGGAGGGCGAGGCGTGGGAGTGGCAAGGAGAGGGCGGGTGGGAGTGGGAAGGAGAGGGCGCGGGGCATGAGGCAGATCGAGGCAGAGCTGCAGCAGAGGAGAGAGGCGGCCGCAGCCAAGGCAGCTGCAGGCACGGCAGAGGCAGTAGAGGAAGACGACGGGGCTGACGGGGTAGTGGAGGATGATGGGTGGGAGCAGCAGGTGGGGCAGGTGGCGGTGGTGCGCGGGCAGGTGAGGGCCACATCGCTGGCAGAGCTGTACCGCGCGGCGGGGAGAGGGGGCGACCTGGACGGCGCAAGGAACGTGGCACCGGCTCACGCCCTCCCACAGGCGCTGGCTGCCACACCCGGCCTCCTGTGCCAGTCCATGCCCTTGCAGCCGCACCTGGGCTTGCACCCGCACCTTCCCACGCCCCTGCCTGTGTCGCCTGCCCCTGCTGCCCCTGCTGCCCCTGCTGCCCCTTCCGCCCTCTTCTCCTCCACCTCTCCTCTCGCCGTCGCTCTGCCTCCCTGCAGTGCCACCGCCCCTTTCCCCCTCGCCTCTGCTCCTTCCCCTCCTGCCCCTGCCTCTGCCTCTGCGGATTCCCCCCCTTGCCACCCCCCTCACACTGCGTCGTCCCCTCCTGCCGCGCGCCCACCCTCCCATCGCGACCTGCTGGTGAGTGGCACTTGGTTGGGGCGAGGGGGGAGGAGGGAGGAAGAGGGGAGCGGAGTGAAATTGGTGGGGAAGAGTTGGGAAGGGTTGGGGGAAAGCGTGACAACAGGGGGCAGGGTTGAGGGAAATGGGGGAGAAGAGTGGGCGAGGGAGAGGTGGAGGCATGGGGAGTTTGCTAAAGGAATGAGTGGTGAGGTGCTGGCATGCAGGACGGGTGGCATCTGCCAACACCACACCACGCTCCATACCGTCTCCCCCCATCATCACTCCCCTTGCATCCTGCTTCCCCCTCTTCCCCTCTCCCCCGCCATCGTCTCACCCTACCCCTTCCCCACCCTCCCCCCTTCTCTCCCTCTCCCTGCTCTTATCCCATCCCCCTCCTCAGAGGGCGCGCAAGGCAGCGCACAGCCGCCGCCCGCACTCACTGGCGGGGGGGGAGTTTGCCGCACTCAGGCTCGCCCACAACCCCACAGGAGGCTCTCCAGAATCCACCACCGCTCTGCACCGCTCTCCCCTCTCCTCGTCCTCCCGCCCCCTAAATCCCGTTGCTGCTGTCGCCCTGGCCACTCTGCCCCACCCCTCCACCTCCTCTCCTGCCCCTCTTGCCGCCCCTTCTGCTGGTGCAGCGGATGAGAGTGGGAAGCGGCAGAAGGAGAAGGGCATGAGGCAGGCAGCAGGGGGAGGGGCGGCGGCAGCAGCGGTGCAGCAGTCGTTGGGAGCGGTGGCGGCAGCACAGCCTGCCATGGTGGATATTCCACGGGCTGCCACCACGGGCAGCATTCACACCACACCTGCCACCGCTGCTGCTGCTGCTGCTGCTCTAAGGAGGTGTGGGTCTGACGATGCGCCCTGCCTGCCCGCTCTCGCAGAGCACATGGCGCAGGGAGGGCAGCCCCACCCCACTGCACTTTCCCATGACCCAGCTGTCCCCTCTGCCTTCCCTCGCCCTCTGCTGCACCTTGCTCCCACTTCCCTCGCCTCCGCTTCCCCTGCCATGTCAGCTGGCTCTCCTGTGACGTCAGCAGGGTCGCCTGCCATGTCAGCAGGATCCCCAGCCTCTCTGTCCAATGAGCACGTGCCACGTGGCGCACAGCAGGCAGCAGCGGTGGCGGAGCTGAGGAGCAAGCTGAGGGTGCTGCTGGCGCCGCCACTGCCTGCAGCAGAGCAGGCAGGCATGGGGGCGTGCGGGGTGGGTGAGTGTCACGATGTGGGCAGGCAGGGATGTGCAGGCAGTGAGGAGGGCCAAATTCCATCAGCTGTGGTGACTGCACCGCCTGCAACAGCAGGTTCTCTCCCACCTCACTCCTCTGCCGCTGCCACACACCGCCACCCCCCGTCGCCTCCTCCCCTGCACCGCTCGCTGTCAGACCCGCACACGCCGCGCCCCCCCACAGCGCCCTTCCCCCTCGTCTCTCCGCCCTCCCCCGGCACCCTCTCAGCGCCGCGCTCGCCCCTCCCCCCACCCTCTGCGCGCGCCCTGGGCTTCGCCTGTGCGCGCCGCCCCTTCATGCTGCCTCCCGACTGGCACTCGGCCTCCGGTGCTGCTGAGAGTGGTGAGAGGCCGCGCACTGCAGAGGGGGGGAGAGGAGGGAGGGGCGTGCGGGCATTCACTTCAGTGGGGCACCGGGGGCTGCTGCCACGGGGCGTGCATGCAGGGGGGGCGTCAGCAGCAGCCGCAGCAGCAGCAGGGGGCGCGGGCAGCCATTCTGCCCTGACCGCGCGTGAGGTGCTGGCAGCGCTGCGGCGTGTGCCGGGGCCGTACAGCTCGGGGCGGTTTGACGAGGTGGAGGGCGTCGATGACGCTCTGCTGGGCGCCGCTGCCACGCCCAGGGTAGCGGTGGGAGGGGCGCGTGGTGGTGGTGGTGGTGGGCGGCGGAGGAGGAGGTTCAGCGTGCTGGCTGTGGCGAGGGAGGTGGTGGAGAGGGACGGGGGAGGGGGAGAGGGGGGCAGTGGCGATTATGCGAGTGGAGGTGACGCGGAGAGAGGAAAAGGTGGTGGTGCGGAGGAGGGCGGAGGAGATGATCGGGGAGGCAGGGAGGAGTCAGAGAGCGATGGCGATGGGGAGGGCGAGGAGGCGGCACGGGTGCGCATGGAGTGGAGGCGGGTGAGGAAGGAGCGGCAGCTGGTGGAGCAGGAGAGGGGCGAGGTGCAGCGCGTGCAGGGCGAGGTGGCACGCTTCAAGCAGTGGGCGCACGAGGAGCAGCAGCGCCTGCAGGAGGAGAAGCGAAAGGTGAGGATGGCAGTGAGTGAGAGCTGCTTGCGGCTGTGAGCGACTGGAAGAGTGATAGTTGTGAGAGAAAGGATAGACGAGCTTGAGAGAGCAAGCACCCACATGTACTTTGGGCTCACAACTGCACTTTCCCCTGCTCTGGGATTGAGTCCCAACCTTTGTTTAAACACAACTGATTGGTGGAGGCCAACAGTATGAGTGAAGCCCCCCACGTGCGCCCACCACAGGTGGAGGCGGACAAGCAGCGCCTGGCGCCCTTTGAGGCACGCCACCGCGCCTGCCACCACCGCATCGCAGCACAGGACGCCGCCACCGCCGCCCTGCGAGCGCAGGCCAGCGCTGCTGCCACGGCCACGGCACACGTGGCGGCGCACACGCACTCCCTGCGCTGCCACCTCGCCTCCTCCGCCCACCTCCTCGCCGCCACCAAGCAGCGCCTCGCTCACGACCGCGCCTCCGTGGCTGGCGCTCTGGCTCGGGCTGCCGAGGCTGAGGAGCGGGCGCAGGCAGCGGAGAGGAGGTTCGGGAAGATGCCGTGGGAGGTGCGGAGTGCGAGTGGCGTGGCGCGGGTGGTGCATGGCGTGGCGGCCCGGCATGGGTCGTCCGTGCAGCGCCTGCACGCCCCCGCCATGCGCCTGGCCCGTGTGGTGGCCGTGGCATGGCGGGGCGGGACGGGTGAGGGGGCGGGGAAGGGGGCGGGGGTGGAGGAGGAGGAGGAGTTGTGGGGCGAAGTGGGGGAAATGGCCGAGGGGCGAGAGGAGGGCGGGCACAGGGGAGGGGAGGAGGGAGAGGGGAATGCATGGCAAGGGTGTAGTGCAAGCAAGGAAGGGACGGTGATGGGAGAGGAACAGCCAAGGGAGCAGCGAGGAGTGGAGGGCAAGGCGCGTGGGTTGAAAGGGGAGCAGGTGGCAGGCGTGGCGAGGGAGGTGATGCGCGCGCTGCTGCTGGCTGCCCGGGCGGCGAGTGACAGCGCATCGCGGGTGCTCTTCTGGTGGTCCAACACGGCCATGCTGCGCTCCGCCCTGGCGCCGCTGGTGGTGGAGGAGCAGAGGAGGAAAGGGGAGGAGGGGAGGAAGGGTGAGGCGGCCACAGGTGAAGGAGGGGCGGATGGTGCTGCTGCTGCGAATGGTGGTGGTGCATGCTGGTCCGGCACAGGTCATGACGACCGGGGAGAGCACCCAGAGCGGCCTGGGGACCCGTGGGGCAGCTTGGCGCACCTTGAGTCGCAGCTGCTGCAGTTGGAGCAATGGCAGCACGACAGGTGTCTGCACCTGGTGTGGACACGTGTCTTCCTGCCAGCCATGCAGCAGCGCCCCCCTGTGCTGCCGCCTCCCTTCCACCCGCCATCACACACCCCACCCTTCACCCCCGCCTGGTCCTCCGCCCTGCTCTGCGCCGCCTCTGCCTGCCAGCAGGCGTCCCTCTGGCCCTTCTCCACCCCCACGCCCCCGCCACCCCCACTCAGAGGTAACTCATCTTCTCCCTTCAATCTGAGAGTCCTGTCCTTTTGCCCCTCTGGTAATTTCCTTCTAAACGTCTCACTGCCGCTGGCTAGTTGGTGCCCTTGTCTCTGCTGATCATCCCAGACGTACCTCCGAATCTCTTTGGGCCAGGGCTACTGTAGGCAGCTATGTGCTTGGAGTCCATTGCATGAGTCCACACGCAACTCTAACTGTGCTTCTCAATTCTCCATGCATGCCTCGCTCTGTGCACGTCTCGTTCACATCAACTCATGTTTGTTACTTACGCACTTCCTTTGTTAGCCACTTTGCTTCGCTCTAGACTCATTTCGCCCTCTCACCACCATCCTGATAACGCTCACCCCAATTAGCCCCTAGCACTGCACGTCACCCAATAGCCCGTCAGGCCCGCTTCTCCTCTCCCCCCTCTTCTTTTCCCCCTCTTCCCCTCTCCCTGTGTCCCCATCTTCCCCTTTCTCCATCTCCCCATATGTGCAGCGGAGGAAGTGCAGGCGCCCTGGTGGGAGGGGCTGAGTGGTACAGAGCGGTGGGTGGCGGTGCTGCACGAGGCGGCTGCCATGCTGTGCCCTCACAGGGCCATGGGGCACCTCTGCGGCTGCCTCTACCCGCTTTTCAAGCAGGTCAGTGCTGCCTCTACCCGCTACTAAATCAAGCACCTCCATACCCCCTTCTTTTGGCGTTACAGCATTTTTGAGTGCACCACCACCACGATTTACCTTCCCCCTCACAGCTCTTGCTTTGTCCGTGCCCTCTTCTCGTCTACCCCTTTTCATTTTCTCCCTTTCACCCCAATTCGCCCTTGCCGCATTTCCACTCCTTTCCATACCCCGTCACCCATCATCCTGTTTCATCCACCCCCTCAAGTGCACCTCCTCCCCCCGTCCTCCTCTCTCACGCCACCCCACTCTGGTTTGGCACGTCTGCCTTCAAAGCCTGCCGCCTTGGTCCCCCTCTTCCCACCCCTTTCCCTGCTCCACCTCACGCAACCCCCCCTTCTATCCACTCCCCCTTCCCCTCCCCCTCTTCATCCCCCTCCCCGCCCCTCCCCCCTCCCCCGCCCCTCAGGTGCTGCAGCAGTGCCAGCAGCGGCTGGACGCGGCGCTCTTCAACGCGCTGCTGCGGTCGGGTAACGACGTGCTCTCCACCGACCCTACCGCCGACCCTCTCACCGAACCTGCCGCCCTGCCGTTCCCCGCCAATGGCCGCTTCTGGGCCGCCCAAGGGGGGCTACTGAAGCACACTGTAAGGGGATTGCTGAAACACGTTGTAAGGGGGATTGCTGAACATGCTGTAAGGGGGATTGCTGAAATAATCTATAAGGGGGATGACTGAAACACAAGGGGATTGCGATTGCGTGCACACATGCCAGCCTCGCATGACCTCTGCCATCCAGACCCATCCCTCGCTGCCATCCAGACCCATCCCTCACTGCCATCCAGACCCATCCCTCGCTGCCATCCAGACCCATCCCTCGCTGCCATCCAGACCCATCCCTCGCTGCCATCCAGACCCATCCCTCGCTGCCACTGCCCCAGTATCCTCATGTACCCTCAATGTCTTCCCGTCTTTCCGCCATGCCTCTGCCCTCTGTTACCCCCCACCACCACCACCACGGCACCCCACGGCACGGCACCAGGTGTCGGAGTGGAGTGAGTTCCTCGCTGACATGGACGCACACGTCTCCTCACACTGCCACGCCTCCGCCGCCGCTGCTGCTGCCACGCAGCATGCCGAGCAGCACGGGTGCTGCCACGCTGCCCCCCCATCGCCCATCCTCCCCCCGCCCACCGTCCCGCTCTCCCTGCTCTCCTCCGCTCGCTTCTGGGCGGGCCAGCTGGAGCTCTTTGATTGGCCAGAGGGCGCAGAGGGGCAGGGCGGGGCAGAAAAGCGGGGATGCGGAAATGGACTGGTGGGGCAGGGAGAGGGGTGGAGAGCGGTGACAGGCGGTGACGCCATGGGAGGTGCAGCGGCGCACAGTACTGCTGGGTGTGAAGCGGGCACGGGCCAGAGAGGGCACGACCCCGCGGCGCTGCTGCTGCTGGGAGGGCGCGAGGGGGAGGGGGAGGAGGGGAGAGGCTTGCTGCAGCAGCTGATAGGTGGGCGCGCGGAGTGCTTCCCACTGCTGCGCGCGCTGGCCCACGTGCTGCTGCTGCCCAAGACGGCTCTCTGCGACCGCCCTGTGCGCCGCCAGGTGCGCGGGAAGGGGGGGTCGACGTTGGTGCGCGGGAAGGGGGGGTCGACGTTGGTGCGCGGGAAGGGGGGGTCGACGTTGGTGCGCGGGAAGGGGGGGTCGACGTTGGTGCGGGAAGCAGTGTGAGCGAAGAGAGGGACGAGAGGGGCGCGAGGGATGAGAGGAATGAGGGGGGGAGAGGGGTGAGCAATGAGAGTGGGTGACAGTGTTACTGCATCGTTCTCGTGAACGCTGCGCCTCATGCTCGCACAGCCACGGCATGTGCACGTCAGTGTGTCGTGTGTGTTGCTCACCCATGGCATGCATATCGCCATGCCCGCCCATGCAGGTGTACGCCACCATCCCAGCACCGCTGCTGCAGCGCGTGGTGAGCATGTGTGTGGAGCAGCCCTCCCACCCCGACCCCATCCCACCCGTGCTGCTCGACATGCTGCAGGCCGAGGTGAGTGCTGCAGGCCGAGGTGAGTGCTGCATGCCGAGGTGAGTGCTGCATGCCGAGGTGAGTGCTGCATGCCGAGGTGAGTGCTGCAGGCCGAGGTGAGTGCTGCATGCCGAGGTGAGTGCTGCATGCCGAGGTGAGTGCTGCAGGCCGAGGTGAGTGCTGCATGCCGAGGTGAGTGCTGCATGCCGAGGTGAGTGCTGCAGGCCGAGGTGAGTGCTGCATGCCGAGGTGAGTGCTGCAGGCCGAGGTGAGTGCTGCATGCCGAGGTGAGTGCTGCATGCCGAGGTGAGTGCTGCCCCACATGCTCAGGCTGCCCCACATGCTGCTATACATGATGAGGCATCACATGCATTGTCTGTTCTCTCACCTGCAATCCCATCCTCTCCATCCCCCCATTCCGCCCCTCCCACCTCCCTCTGCTCCTCCTGCCCCTCCTCGCCTCCACCCTCCCCAGGCCAACACCTCTGCCCACGCCATCCACTTCCTGCCAGTCTTCGACCCCGCCCCCCTGCCCCCCACGCCCTACTGCCCGCCGCCCACCTCCCCCCTGCACGCGCTGCTGGGGGCGGCTGCACGGGGCGTGGTGGGCGTGCAGCAGGGGGGCCTGGAGGGCGGGAAGGGGGCACGGCACGGAGATTTGCCGGTGGAGTGAATGCGGCACGGCGAGTCTGAGGGGCCAGAGCAGCAGCGACGAGGTTGCGGGTGCGGGAATGAGTGTGTGCAGGCGAGGCGAGTGTGCCAGTGCGGCCAAGCGGTTTTCCCTGACAGCTGGGCCCAGTGACTAGGAGCTGTGACTGCTGCACCCCACTGCTGCACCCCACTGCTGCACCCCACTGCTGCACCCCACTGCTGCACCCCACTGCTGCACCCCACTGCTGCACTTGCCCAAAAGCCGAAAGTACTGCCACAGCCACTGCATGTCCCTCAGATTGCATTCAGGCCACTCTGATTGATCAATGCTCTCCCAAAAAAAATGCATCCCAGTCAGTGCTGGGTGAAAAGTTATACCATAATCCCCAGTATATACAGCCCTGCCGAATAAATGCACCTATGGGGGGCTTATGTGGGCAGAAGGCTTTATTGTGGTATTTTGAGTTATTAACCATATTTATTTCATTATTTCTACTAAACTTTTCTTCATCAGTTGTGCTGTAAGGTTGGGTAGGGAACCTTTGCCAAATTCTTCTCAACATTGTTTGTTGTAGAACCCTTTTTTCAAGCATTGTTGCATGTAGCGCTGATATTTCAGAATGGTCCAGACTGGTGCGAAACGAATCTGTCACTGATGAAACCAGTGATTGGGGGGAGGGAGGGGGGAGGGGAGGATTGGAGGGTCCAGCACAGTGCCCTAGATATCAGACTTTTTACGCTGATTCAGCGTCCATTCAGACATTTTTTAGATACCAGGTCTGTAAGTTTTTTTTAATGTACCTTCTCTGATTTGTCAGAGTTTTTTTAAATGTAGTGGCTGAGATTTCAGACAAAATGTAGGGGTGTAGGCTGAGCCTCAGCCTCGTTTCGGGGGTGCACGCTGAAACGGGTACTGCAGGGGTCCGCCAGCCTGGCGGCGTGAATGCACTAACACCGTCAATCACGGGCGGGAAACGGAACATTTCCCGAGCGTGGCACCGCACCGCACAGTCGCGTTGGGCCAGGGATGCTGTAATCTGGCTCAATTCCAGCCAATCGCGGCAGCGCAGCAGGCAGTGTTGGCAAGATTCCTTGCCAACGCATAGCTTGCACCCGGACAACACCACAACCACCCACCCCCCTCCACCGTCCACCGTGCCAACGCATAGCTCGCAGCGCGCTGCAGCTCTCACGTGACCACATCCATCCACCCCAGTCACCCCACCTTCCCTGCACCCACGACCAGGTGCCGTGCATGCAGTGCAGTGACCAGCAGGGAGATGAGCGGTCCAAATACGAGGACCTCTCATCTTCCTCATCATCGCCCTTCGTGGGGGTCACTCCGTGCCCTGTCTCTCTCGCTTCATTCAATTTCTTCACCAGATAGTAGTGCTGGAACCCTTGTTTCTGACACTCCCGTGCTCTCGCAAAACCAGTGCTCGGCAGACTCATGGCAGCCACAGGCGCTGCCGCCGAATCGACCGACGATGATGACGAGACAGATCGACGGCCTGCGTCAGACGCAGTAACCGGCCTGGACTTTCTACGAGCATGCTTGCCGACGCATGTCCCACCGACTACTCCACCGTCGCAACCTAGCTCTAGCCGTCCTCCAGTTTCCGTTCAACCAGAACCTGTCCCCACAGCCGTCACTGAACCGGTCGAAGCTGCGCCACAGTCTGTGCCCAATGAGGCGTCCGCTGAAGCACCGTCCCGTCCCGCACCACCGTCGAAGTTGCGTTACCGTCAGACCACGTTTCCGTTGGCAACTCCTCCTCCTCCATCGACCGTTGAAGCTCCAGCGAGAGTCGAATCTCCCATACAGGGCAGCTCGAATCCCACCGACAAGTCTGACTCCGATAAGTTGGAGTTGAAATACGAAGAAGCTCACTTTCGTTTTAAAACAAAGTGGTCTACCGATTACGAATGGCTTATTCGAACTAAAACCTCTACCGGTGCCCCAAGTTTTAAGTGCAGCATATGCCTGGAGTTTGCAGGACTTACAGGCAAGTGTGGACGGAGTGGTGAGGGCGCGACCGACGTGCAGACGCAGGCCTTCAAGCAGCATGAAGGCACGGTGAAGCATCGTTTTGCACTGAAGCGGCAGGAGGACCTCCTCCAGAAGTATGGCGATCAACATCGCATCGACCTACACCCGAAAGCGCAGGACAAGGAGATGTTGCAGATCTCGGCGCTAGTGGAGTCGCTGTACTTCATGAGCTCGTGCAACGAGCCCATGGACGCTTGGATTAGGCTTGTGCGCTATCTCGCGAAGAAGAAGGTGCCCGGCTTTCCAGAGCAGGGCTACGGCACGTACTACAACACGTAAGATTCTTGCGGTTGTAACCACCGAATCGTTGATTTCTTCTAACAAACAGTCGCTAACTGCCTCTGGTCTGTTTTTTTGATACAGGTACGGCTTCGGAGAGTTAACACAGGCAATCTCAACATGGCTCCAAACAACACAGCTGGAACACCTTCTGACGAGCCCCTTCATCGGGATCACCCTGGACGAGAGCACAGACCGGCGGCGCGGCAAACACATGATCGTGTTTGCAACCTTCGTGCGCGACAAGCAAGTTGTGACTGAGTTCTTTGCTCACCTCACGGTTGAGAAAGCTGACGCTGCATCCCTGTGTAGTTTGCTGCTCTCCCACATCAGGGCTGTCGGCGTGGACCTCCGCCGTATTCGGGAGTGAGCACGGACGGTGCGATGGTGATGGTGGGAGTGCACACCGGTGTGGTGGCTCGTCTTCGGATGCTCATCCCCAACCTGGTTTCGTTCCACTGCATCGCTCACAGGTGCGTTGTTGTTTTTTTTTATTGTTTGTTTAGTCGTTTACCAGTAACATACGATGCTAATCATGCTTGTTTGTACGTCTTGCAGGGAGGCATTGGCTGCCAAAGCCCCTGCGGAGTCTATACCCACTTTCAACATGGTCGACGACGTCATCCGTGCTGTCGCTGAGTACCTGGGGCGGTCATCACCGTGGCATCAACGGTTCATGGAGCTGCAGGAGGTTTTTACCTCCACCAACCTCGAGGTGCAGGGGATCCACGAGGTGCGGTGGCTTTCAAGGGGTGCTGCGGTCGCCCGCTTCGTCGAGGTCCTCCCAGCCATCATGGTGATATTGTCAGAGTGGAAGGACCAGACGATGTACGAGCTCGTCACGTCCTACCGGTTCCAGTTTCTGCTTCGGTTCCTCGCGGACGTTCTGGACCTCCTCAACATCCTCTCGAAGGTTTTCCAGCATCGTGAGGTAAGAAACTTGAGTAATCTTGTGTTTTTTTAAACCGGAAACCGTGCTCTAACTAAAACTTCGTCGTGATGTGGCAGCTCGACTACCCATTGGTGCACACACAGATTGTGCGCACAACATCTCTCCTGGAGAGTCGGTACATCGACTGCGGAGATGACTTCGGCGGCGGGCCTAACGAGCGGCTTCATCGATTCATCGAGAAGCATGGGCCGCAGGGGACACCAGAGATGGTGGTGGAAGGCGCGTCGTCGGATGGGAGTCTCAACCGCTTCAAGATCACCCTTCACGAGCGCCGAGTGGCGAACTATCTCGGGGCGGGCCATCACGATGCGTGTGTGGCGCTCTGCACTGACTTTGCCGAGGGCCTCGTTGAGGAGCTTCAGTCTAAGCTCGGAGACCTCGACTCTCTGTCTGGCGTGCGGCTATTCATACCTGACGAGTGGCCTCCGAATTGGGAGAGGAGTGCATGGCAGGCACAGTGCCTTGAGTGGGTGTTGTCGATAGTCACTCTGTTCCGCGCCGACGACTGCGAAGAGATTTTGCCAGGTCAGTTAATGATGTGATGCTCGTTCGACTGTTGGCTAAACCTCTCCGTAATAATCCCTCGCCGTGTCTTATGTTGCAGGCATTGACAAGAAGCGTGCCGTGAAGGAGCTGCGGACTCTGTGCCCAGTCCTGGCCAGAGCCCCTAAGAGCGAGCGCAAGTTCAACACGGGATTGACTGCAATCCTGAAGACACCTGACTGGGAGCAAGCCTACCCCAACCTCGTCAGACTGTGGGTGGCGGTTGCAGTGCTGCCTCTCAGCACCGTCGAGTGCGAGAGAGGATTCTCTCGCCAGAATCTCATCAAGACGTGGCAGAGGGGTAGTTTAAAAGACTGTAGGCTCAGTGACTTGCTGTGTATGTCTATGCTAGACTATGAACTGGACGTGCCGGGGGTTGTAGAGATCTGGCGCAGCTATAGGAAGCGCCGGCCAGTGACGGCACCTGCTGCAAGACACAGGGAGCCCCAGAGAGCTGGGAAGGAGGCTGTAGAGGAGCCAGTAGTTCATCTGACAGCTGTAGAGTCACATGTGATAGAATCTGACTCAGATAGTTGAAATGTTTTCAAGTGCAGTATAAAAAACCGGCAGCCTTCAAACTTAGTGGGACTCTGATCTTTCAGCAAAAAAAAACCATTGTTGTCTGAACTTTCAGACTCAAAATCGCCTGCAACTCTGACTGACAGAGTGTAGATGAGGGTGCACTCTGTCCCCTCAGCGTGCCCTAAAACGAATCCAGGGCCCTGGTCCAGCACAACATTCGCCAAAACTTTTGCCGCAATCAGCGCCAAATTTTCAGATTCTACGACCGTGAGCGTCGCCTTGACGGCCCGGACCACCTGGACACGGCGCAGCGTGGCAGCAAAAATCAAGACCACGACAGCGCAGCATCATTTATCCACCACTGAATCCTATCCGCCTATCATCTCTCACCCTCTGCACACTCTCCACCAAATCGTCGAGATTACCACCATCACACCCACCCACACATCAGCCCTGCCTCACCTCAAGGGAGACCCGTTGCCACTATCAGCGCATGCGAAAGGATGGAGAAGCTGGTGCAGCTCGACAAGCTGTATCACCATTGCCTTCCAGGTACTGTAAGTTGACTTTGTTCTGTTTCTGATGTTTTTCAAGCTTGCAATAGTGGTCTTATTCCCTCTCTTTGACCAACAACAGGTGTTGAGTTCAAGTCGTGCAAGAGGGAGCTGACACTGTT